AAAAACCACAAAAAAACCCCAACCCCCCTCCCCCCCCCAAAACCCACAACAACCCCAAACAAACAAACAAAAAACCACACAACAACAAAAAAACCCACAAACACATTTTGGGTAGAAGAGAGAAGATGTATGTCCTAAATTTTCAAAGTTTCATATAATGAATTCCTTTCTAATTTGTGTGTAGATACAGATTTGCATTATTATTGTATAAATGTTCTTAGGTTCTAAAACATCCTTTTGTACTGCATATGACAGCATCCACACACTGTCATATGATGGGTATGTGATATAGGAATATGTTTCTGTGTTTTCTTTTTTTTTAATAATGTACGTAGTGTTTGTAAACAAAATTATAAAATACTAATAAGATCTGATATGTCGCTGTTTGGATTCAATTTAATGTAGAAGCTACAGGATAATTAATTTTTCTCTGATCATCTTTTGTTGGATGTTAAATAAGGAGTATATTGAATATTTTGAGAATCTGCAATAGTAAATCTGTAATTTCTCTCTCTTCTACCTCCTCCTCCCCCTTTTTTTTTTTTTTTTTTTTATATAGGGAATTATGCTGGTAGGGGCACTGTTGGAATGGTGGCACGTTTTGTTCCTCCTCATCTCAATAACAAATCCTGCAGAGTAACATCTCTATGTTACAGTGAAGATGGTCAAGAGATCCTTGTTAGCTACTCTTCAGATTACATATACTTGTTTGATCCCAAGGATGACACAGCACGAGAACTTAAAGTTCCTTCTGCTGAGGAGAGGCGTGAAGAGGCAAGTGATTAAGCTGACCTGCTTTCATGCTTTATATTCTGTTTTCTTGTGGCACACTTACATCAGCTGTGTTTTCCTTTAAATTATTTTAAATTAATGTTGCTGTTCATAGACTGAAATGTGACAAGTAGATTGTGTTACAAAATTAGCATCTTTACAATATATTTATTTATTTATATGTTTACAATATTTTGGCACTCTGGTTTTCTTTCTTGTCTGGTTTCCCTCTCCTGAAGATGTGAAGGCATCTACGTGAACCAAGGGTTACAAGGCCAGCAAGGGGTGGCAGGTCACAGGTGTAAATGAGGTGTATTCTCTGCTCTTTTCCATGTTGCCAAAAGCATATTCCTTGAAATAAGTATAAATACTCTGTGTTGGAAGTTATCATTTATTGGCAGAGATGGGGTACAAAATGTTTAGAACGAGGAGGTGAGCCACTGCTACTGACCATTATTAAAATTTTGGCAGTGTAACCAAAACATAAGCAGTTATCAGCTCAGCTACAATGATGCTGACCCTTCCAGTCTAAATTATCTGATCAATATAAACCAAATCTCTTCAACTACAGTGAAGTCATATGCACCTTTCCCCCTACCCCTGAACTCCTCCTGCCATCCACTACTTATTTCTGGCATTATGCTGACCCTTTCACAAGCTCCTCTGTATCCCGAGTTCGTTACTTCTAGTCTGAGACAACGGCCTCAAGGGAGTTTACACTGAGTTGTCAGCACCCTGCTGTCTTCACCTGGAGGATGAGTGTGATGATAATGATGGTGATTTCTTCATCCTCTTTCCTGGGAGAAGCGTAATGTTGATGTTTTCTTCTTAGAATCTGCTTGGAAGCCATTTTTATATCTTTTCAACATCTTTTATATGATGCGTTTTCTTTATTAGTCAACCAATATGACATGGTTTTGCTTTCAAATGCTTGTTCTTTGTCCTCATTTTTACCCCTAAAACCCAAGTTGTTGTTTGGGTCCAACCTTTACAGTACAGTTAGCAGCTGCGAGTGCTGGGAAGGTGTCTCTGGTATCCTCCCATGTCCACATCTGCAGGATATCCATCCACCCACCCACTGTCAGCCCATGCCTGTGCTACTTCACACTATACATCAGTGTCCTGTGGTCATAGGTAGTTCTTTCTGGCACAGTTTAGCTAGCCGGCACTCCCGTCTCTATCAAAACTGTTAACAAGAGGTTGTACACCACCCATCTGTGCAGATCTAAGCAGAACTAAAGCAAATTAGGTCATAATCACCTCCACGCTGGACAATTGCTGTTGCAGCTAAGTGAGCTAAAGGTCCAGGCAAAGCCTGGCAAGTATGAGGCTTGTGGCGTCAGCTTCATACTAAGCCTGTGACCTGTAATGGGCAATGGCCATTCTGTATTTACTGGACCACAGGCTGCTATTACTAGTACAAATATTAATCAGAAGCAGCTGTAGATTTGTAGGACTGAGGAAGAATGCTCAGCTGAGTTAGTTACCTCACTGAAGCAGGAGGAAGCAAAGAGAAACCCAGAAAAATTGTGATTCACAAATGGTTCTACACTTGCCCGTTTCTTCTATGTAATGTTAACCTGATGTAATTTAGTGGAGAATTTGCTGCCCAGTTATTATAGAGATAGAAGACTGTGACCACCTCTTAATAACAGCTCCTGTGCTTTCTTTTCTTTGCTTTTGTAGGCACAGAATTTGTCCCTGTAATCTCTTCTTGCTGGACGATTTTCCTTAAATGCTATTTTTTTTTTTTCATCCTGGCTTGAAGTTGTGTAGAATAGAAGGCATGTGAAGCTTTCTTCCTGAAACTGCTGGCTCCAGAAAGTTAACACTTTAATGTGCTTTCACCACAGGGGTTTTGCATTTGATTTAAAATTGTCAGCACAACTATTCACCTTTTTTTTTTTTTTTTTTAAGCCGGAAATATCCAGCATATATGCCTCATTTCAAACTCAGAACTACCTTTCTGAATGTTCAAAGCACTAGCAGTTTCTCGTCAAGTTGCTGAAAGTAACACTACCTTTATAGTACTTTTTTTTTTTCCAACAAGAAGTATAAAACAAGTGTTGTAAAAACTTTAAAAAAACACAGGTTAAAAAATAAATTCTATTTTCCCAAATTTTTTTCTTTTTTGTTAATGTCTGATTGATTTTTCGTTTTGCTTAATTGCAAATCCACATTGCATTAAACTGAAGCTGCTGTAGAGTTTTTGACATGAAGAGGTGAATATTTTTGCAGAATTCGGACTGAATTCTGGAAAACTTTAATTATTATTGTTTGGTATGGAAAGCCTCAATTAACGTAGTGAAGTTATTGCATAAAATAAAAGCTGCATTAGTTCTGAGAGTCATTAATTTAGACTCTTGAACTTCTGTGTAGCTAAAAATCTTGCATTCTATTTATACGCTGTTGTGCTTACTCATAGTTGATCTGAACATATGGCTGACATCCCATTTTTTGTGACAGATACAAATTTATGTAACTTAAGAAAATGGAAATGCTGCATTTATATTTAGACTTAAAATTCTATACTGTCCAACATAAATAGCTTTGTAAAGTGTTTTTTAAATACATTTTTTTCTAGTTACGGCAGCCTCCTGTTAAACGCTTGCGGCTAAGAGGGGATTGGTCAGATACCGGACCCAGAGCAAGGCCTGAGAGTGAACGAGAAAGAGATGGTAAAGTGTTTGCAGTTGGAGGGGACTGGTTGTCTTTGCTTGTGTGTTTTGTTTTGGTTGTGTTTTGCTGTGGGTTTTGGTTTTTTTTTTTTTTGTTTGGTTTGGGGTTTATTATCCAAATTGTTTTCAGTATTCCTGAAATAAACAAATGCTTCAGATTAAACTCCATATTTTATGAATCAGCCAGGTTTCAAGACGGTTTTCTTAGAATTTAACACAGAACTGCTATTCTACAGTGATTTTTAAAAATGCCTAAATTGAAAATATTCTTACCAGAAAAATGGTGTTGCTTGAGTTAGGCTGATGTAAACCAAGGGAAGCTAGCTTACTTCATTGTCATTGGTCATGTGGTAACACAAGTACCTATTTCCCTTTTTGTAGTCAAGCCTCATGTGCGATCGGAGTTACAAATGAAATGCTCTCTAATGGTTGCATTAGGGGACTGGAATTCGATGCAATAGGATTCTAATGTACTGTTCACTTTTATAAAACACAGGTAGTGACTGATTTTTTTATGCTTATATTTTCATGTTTATAATATATTACTCAATTACTTGAGGTTTCAGTAGATAGAGGATTTTCAAAGCTACGCTTTAATGTGAGAAAATGGGATACCAAAGCAGAGAAGAGGATGCTTTGTCACTCATCTCACTCTTCATCTAATGACATGTTTCTGTTTAAATCTGACAGGTTGTGGGGATACAAGTATTTGTTCTAGTTCCTATTCTGCCGCCCGTTTCCCTTTCCAGATTTTCTGTGTTGGCTTTTCTCATCTTTCTGATTCCCCAAAGTAGAGTAGAAATGTCTACCTGTATCAGTCTAATGGTACATGGAGAGTAGGATTCTGTATCTGACACAGAAAATAGGAGATGCTGTTCAGGGAGGAAACATCAGCCTGTTCTCTTACCTTAGTCTGTCGTCTTTGTTGCTCCCCCAGTATTTGGAATTACTGGATTAGAAAGGTTAGATGGTACTTCTCATCTCTTCCTTTGAAATCTGCGTATGGTTCTGTTGCCTGTGAGTTTCTGTATTCCTTTCCTGAACACGTTGATAGTATTTCCTATGACAAAAAACAATCCAGAAGTTCAGTGCCCACTGTGCAAAGGAATACTTACTTTCCTTTCTTTTCAACCGCTCCCTTAGTTTCATCATGTGCCGCCTTATTTTAGTATCACAGGATACGGTCGGTACCAGTTCTACGTTCTGCTTACTTGGTGCTTTCATTCCATGGACCTTGTTGGTCTACGCCCTCATACTAGGGATGCTTTTGCTAGCATTTTTACTGCAGGTTTTTCCCATCAAAATTAGTTTTGGCTTTGCCTTTGCACGAAGTTACTTTTTATCTCAATTCCTTTTCATCTAGACACCTTCACCATCCTTCTAGCTGTCATTTCCCCCTAAAATCATGGTGACCTGTGGCTGTGTTCCCTTTCCTTTGCCATTCCCAACAATGTCTTTTAAAATCAAGCAAATAATCTCAGGTCTAGTGATGATATGTACTCAAGCTGAATGTTAGCAGTTAGATTATATGCAGTCCTGAAAGTTAACCCGTTGCTCCAGATATTTGATTCGTCTTTCAGCTTTTATAACATCTGTGCAGGTAGCAGCGCTGATCTTTTGAGAGGCACATTGTCACTCTACATGTTCTTCCCAAGTACTCTCCAGGATCTTTCCATGTTAGCGTTTCTATGCAGGATATTAAAATATTTTTCACATATGTATTTTGATAAGTAATTGTACTTCACAGGGATTTTATTTCTTAAGGGCTTCAATTGCAAAACCTTTCTAAAAGTTGCTTAAACACCACCTACTTCCAAAGTGGCTAAGGGTCCAGCCAGTATATTTAATACAACAGACCTCCCCCCAGCCCCCTTCTCCCCCCCCCAAACCCACCAATCAAAATAACCCCCCAAAACACCTCACATTTCAGAGAATACAAAAAACACTTAAAGGTTCAAACATTGTTTCAGCCCTTTACAAATGGAATTTTTCTTCTCTTCTCTCTTGAAACAAATTGTTGTTTCATAGCTAATAAATGTTGAAAAATAACACAAATACTTTCTTTCAACACAACAAGAAGAAAGTATGTTGAAGATTTTGCTCTTTGAGAGTCTGTGCAATCTTGACACGTGATCCAAAATGTGAAAATAAAGCACCCTGACAAGAACTCTGCTGTTGTGTTACATTGTGTTTATGAGGAAAATCTGTTATGAAGGCAGCTTTTGGAGATGTTAAAAATATCGTGTGCTGATGTTGTGCTAGTCTTTTTGCTTTTTCATTGTTTAATGATAAAATTGATTATTTTATAATTAGCTGGAAAAATGTAACAATCTAGGCTTTCTTAACTTATTTAACCAGCCTTTAAAATTGAGTGACACAAATTTCACTGTGTCATGTGTACATAAGCTCCAGTTAACTGTAAAACAGAAAAGGAGGAAGGACTGTTGGTTTTTGTGTGGTGCCGCGTTCAGCTGGCAGTTGCTGAGGCTCTGTTGTGCTGAAGAAAGGAGATGGTTCGGGGGATTGCTAGTTACATCGCTTACAGTGCCACTGGGTTTTTTTTGTGGCGAAAGTGGGAAGGGGGAATGAATGTTTCTGTAAAACTGCAGGTAAAACTTTAGCATTACTTGTTTTGCAGGGGAGCAGAGTCCTAATGTCTCTCTAATGCAGAGGATGTCAGACATGCTGTCAAGATGGTTTGAAGAAGCTAGCGAAGTTGCACAGAGCAATCGAGGCCGAGGAAGATCACGGTCCAGAGGTGATTTCCTTTTTTCAAGAATAATAATTACAACAGAAAGTGTGTTTATGCTGGATGCACAGGCCTTGAATATCAGCCTTTCAGAAGTGTAAACTAAAAAACTTTTAGTGCATTCTGAAGAACTGAACACGCTTGTTTGCCATATGAATGGTAATACAAAGGGATCTTTAGAGATGGAGTAAGTTTACCTTTGGGTTCTTGTTATTCTTACTTTATTTTTCATCAAAGGTGGGACTAATCGGACAGATGCTCCTGCTACTAATAACGTGCCACCTAGTGCAGAATCAGAAACTGCAATGGAGGTAGATGGTTCTGAACAACTTCCATCATCTTCCTCTTCTACAATGTCAGCCCAAGCTCCTTCAACATCATCTTCAACAGAAAGCCCCCCTTCAACTTCATTATTGTCCTCTCCTGATAATGAACAAAGGCCTTCTTTAGGGGCCTCAGGTCAACCTGTGCTCCATCAGTCTGGTGAGAAGAAATCCATCTTGTCATTGTTTATGAAAAATACTTTCAATAAGAAACAATTTTATTTTAGGATATTTGGGGTAATTGATCTCAATCTGTTTCGTTCTTGCACGTCCTTAATGGGGCTAGGTATTTGATAGTTAACAAGTGACTGCAGCTGTGCTTTAAAGAATAAAACCATAGACTGTATGTTTGTCTGTAGAAAGAATCTCAAAGGGGATAACCAGTTTTGTCTTTTGAAGTAGAAATAAAAACTTTATTGCTTGTTTTTTCTAAATTGTTCTCTTCATAGAGTATAAGAACATCATGCCTTCAACTGTGATTTGGCTGTAGCAGCATCAGTGCCATGAATAGCAGAACCTATGCCTGTTGTAATCAGAGGCAGTAGAGAATGACTGCTTCAGGGTGAACCAGCATCCTCAACGTTTCAGAGTCAGCAATATTATTTTTTTGCTTCTCAAAAGTATCTGAATAGACAGGAGTCACCTTGCGTGATATTCCATTATTGGTTAATAAATTAACTACATACTGATTTTTAAGTTTGTATATCTTGAAGAAACACATCTGTTTTTAATACTGACTTACCTTCTTACTGTGGGAAAAAGAAGGAAGTATATTCCACTGTCCGTGTCAGAAACTTGTTTGAGTAGTAAAAGAGCACCTTGTGCTTTGACTTTCCCTTTTGTATCTCTATGCAGGAAGAGATGTCGCAGCCTTTTGAGTTAACTGTTTGCATGAGAGTTTATTTCTACTTTTTTGAAATGAGTTTCTAGGCCTCACGGTTGTGGTGGGAAGGCTGACATGATCCAAAACACCTACAGGTTCAGACTTGATTATTTTAAAATCCCATGGTTTTTGTATAAATTCACCTCTTGTCTTGTACCAATTCTGTTGTAAAAAATCAAGGCATTTTTTAATTGGAAAAGGTGACTGATAGCATCGTCAGGCCCTAACTTTGATGTTCTGGCGTAGAGATGGGGATTCCCCAGGGAAAAGTGTGCCATTCAGTGTACTGTGCCTGCTGCAGCCAAAGTCTTTGGGACAGGTGAGAAATGTTTAGCCGTATGGTGTCTGAAAGATGGGGAAGCTAAAGACGTAAGTTGAAATTCATTAAATGCATCATTCTCAATCTTTCAAACCTTGCAACTAGTCTGATACTTATTTAGAGGAAATAAACAGTGAACAAAAGCATGACAAGACACACAATCCAGATACTATTTCTAGAATAAGTGAATACTAGAAAATTTGTTTAGTGGCAGAGGCTTTTAGTCACCTATGAGGTTTTTTTTATTAGTATTGATGTCAGCTTGCTGCAATCTCAAGTTTTTCACAATACACGCTCAAAAAAATTTGATTGAGGAGTCCACTTTAATTCAGTGTAACCCAGTTTAGTTGCTAGTATCTTTGGTACAGAGGGATAGCCTCCAAAGAACACACCTATGATTACGAAGGGTTCATTCTGATCTATTTTTTAAAGTGCATGGCATATTCTGGACCTTACACTGGCCAGGAGGGTATGTCCATATTAAAAATAATTGCTTTGAGCTATGTCACTGAAACTTTGTGGTTGATAATGGTAACGCACTAGAGAGCATTTCTGGAATTACAATGCATTTTCCATCCTGCATTTTAAAAAATGCATGCTGATTAGAAGTGTTTTCCTCTTTTTCTGTGACTCTGTCTGAATTTCTAAGTAAAAGTTTATTCTGCTAGCATGAAGCTGAAGTTATTCTTTTTTAATCCAGCTCTTCTCTAAGAGCGTTTCCTCTTTCCCAGTGTTTCTTTGGACTTAAGACTCCATATATTCAGTTTTGAAAGGGGGGGTGGTGGTTGTTTTGTTGACTGTGGATACTTTCTAATTGTTAATGTTTGATAGGTTCTTTGACTACACCTAAACAGGGCATCAGATTGTCTGCAGATTCTTAAAAAAGTCACCATTCCCCAATTCCAAACCCACAGAAACAAACAAAACCTTATTGCTGTACACAGATATTAGTATTAGGACCTGGCGTCTTATTTAAATTATCTACAGGACTCCTGCAGGAGTAAACTTAGTAGTACTATACGTTTACACACCTAGCAAGTGTCTTGTCTAGTTTGCTCGGTGTTTAACACACATAAGTTACTGTAAAACAAATCTTTGGGTAACAATAGCAAGTTCAGGGAGAGGGGAAGCGCCTGGGCAGAGGGAACAGGCTGTGGCAGAGCAGTAACAGTGCGTTTCTGAATGGTGTGAATGTGAATTTCCATTCTGCAATGTTTGTATATTTAGATAACACATGACGGTGCTGTGTTCTGAGATTTTATTTACTCACAGTCTCAAGTCTATAAACGTGAAAACACTGCATTCTGCATAGAGAACAATATTCCCTGAGTTTGTTTGGCTGCATTTAGAGGTGAATAAAGGCTGCTGCTTTCGGGGGCCGGGTAGGGGAAGGGGTAAATAAATAGAGCAGGGTTGAGTAAGAAGACCAGACAGAGGTGTGTTGTAAAAGATGGATGACTGGGGAAGCATTTTGGAAAATGGAAGAAGGAAAGTGAGGCTCTTGGCCATTGCTTTGTGTAAAACGGTGGTAGATACATATCTGAATATTGTAGCAAAGTGCTAGCAAATGAAGAGTACATTTTCAGGTAATGATTTATTTAGAACTGGAGCAGGAATTCATCCTACAGAATGGAACAGGCTTATAAACAGCTTTCCATAAATCATTTCTTCCGATTTCTGCACTGAATACAGGTGCTGGTGGTAATGCTGTTTCTGAAATAGCAATACCTTTGGATTGTAATTCAAATATGTGGTTGCTATGGTGTTCCAAAAAATATGCCATGTGGTGAGCATTTGAGCTTCTAGATCTGCGTTGCTTACTTCGTCTCTTAATGTTTTTTAAAAGTGCATGTTCAAAATAGTCAGTACAAAAACGGTTCAGTGATGGAGCTTATTGGGATAAGTCCCTTTTTCAGAATGTATATTCTAGAAGCGTACAGTTGGAACATTTGAGTAAGTGCACATCAGTGCAAAATCTCAGTAGCCTGTTCTTGTCAGTAGGTTTGGATAATTATTTTGTTTTTAATGTGAGACAGAACAACTTCTGGAGATTTCCATGCCTGTCACTAAGGGAAAAAAACCAACAAATTTATTTTCTTGCCCTGCTTGGCCCATTCAGTCAAAACCATTAATTTATTTTTTACATTAGCTTTAGGATGCTGTAGTTTTAAACCACGAATAAACATGAAATACAACAAACTGTAAAGTATAATAATGGTTTTTTTTCCCCCATAAATAATATTCCAGATTCACATTGGTACCATTTGGAGGGGGGTAGGAGGGCAGTTGACTAATTAGGACAAAACTTAATATGTGTTCTGATATAGGGTAACTTTGATTTTAAATTTTGAATGGGAAAGTGGCAATAGCTGGGTTTTTTTTCCTTTCCATTTCTATTTCCTCACTCTGCTTGCTGGCAAAATAAACCTTTGCTTAGAGATTCTGAAATGTGTTAAAAGGTGTTGACATTGAACATACTCAGGATAATAGTCATCTCTACATTTTGAATTGTAGTTCTTCTTACATCTTAAATTGTAACTGTCTCTGCACTGAGTGGAACTGGATCAGCAGCAAGTACTGAAAACTGCAATTTTAGATATCACTGAAATTTCCTTAAAAGCATTTTCTAGACTGTTTGGAGTTCTAATTTCCATAAATGTTCATGGCACATGAAAACTATTAATGGCAAATCTCTTTGATGCCATATTTGTTTTAGGAATTTTATCTCTTTCCTTCTTGTTACACCTCATTGACCGTAAACTGGCAGGATGTGTTTCCCAGAAGTGTTATTAGACTGAGGACATTAGAGCTCCTGACTATTCGATATTAACCTGCCGCTCATTTTTGAATTATTAGATTCTGTCTTTGGCTTTGTTTCTTTTTATGAAAGAAAATTTAAAATTTCCTCACTTCTTGAATGAGAGTTACGGAATATTTGTAAAGCTTTTCCTTGGATGAAAGGTTAGATGCCGAAGTAATGCTCTCTAGTATTTTAAAACTTCTTAGTACTGATTTTTTTTTCTCTTTGCAGATTTCCTCATATCTATGAAATATTCCAGAGTGCCCTTGATAGAAACAGTTTCAGGATAGGTCTAGGCTAGCAGTTCATAGCAGAACTAGCTAGACCATTTGATATGAATATTTGAGTCTGAATTAGCTTCTCTACCCTACTGTTTTATAGATTAGAGTAGTTCAGCAGTGGTTCAGGTCAGTATTGTGCTTCACCTATTGCTAACGAAGACACAATCTGTGGTGCATGCAGAGAAGCATTTGTGTAAGTGGAGGAAATCTGCAAAGAGCACAGAAAGAAAAAAAAATTACTTGGGTCCCTAGTTTGACAGCAGTTTGCAAAAAATATTGTCAGTCAGACAGTGGACTGGTACATGCCAAAATGGTGTAACTGACAAATGAATAAAGGCGGGATGATGAAAACTGTGAAGTCTCCGAAGATGGAACTGAAAGAATAGTCTGTTAAGAGAATGATACTAAAAATAGCTTATGATCCAACAAATTACTTTCTCTGTCGGACAAATTAACAGTGTTTTCAGCCTTTAAATCCTCACCTACTGAGAATGCCTGAGATAAAAAATAAATTCATAATAAAGTGTATTTTTTGGTTAGATGCTGTTCTGCCACCTATTTCCATAGTCCAGGTTTACATTTTTCACGTTTGTTTTGATCAAAATTGTACTAATATTTTTTTCACATCAGGAAGCTGTCACATTCAGTTTGAAAACTGTAGACCACAGTCGTATAATTTTATACTACGAATATTTTAATTTGTTATGTGTGTTAGGAACGTGGAAATGAATACTTGTGGTGTTTGCTCTGTTTTGAATCAGTCAGGATCTATCTGTTCTCGTTAAATAATTCTTTGTTAAATGGTTTAAGTGTTGGAGACGGGGAGGGGGCTGTGTTTTATTGCATGGATCCTGAACTTTTTTTAAGTCCTGTGAGTTACGCACTTAGGAAGAGAAAAACAATTACAGTATTTTATTTTATAATTTCGGGATGTTAGTACATTATTAATGTGTTTTTTTCACTGTAATTATATTTAGTATCTGTTGCTTCTCTCTGGTTAGTCTCCTACCCCTCCTCCCTGTTCTGTATATTGTATACTCAATGCTGCTTTCATTTACATACCTTTTTTTTTTTTGTTTCCCCCTCTCCCTGTTTGTCAGAGTTAATGGGACCCGAGTTAGCTATAATCCGTAGGGGTCTGCAGCGACTGAGGCTTAAGAAGGCAGAACAACAGAGACAGCGAGAGCTAGCTGAGGGTTCAGCGCCACAGTCGTCCTCCTCTAAGGGCTCCTCACAGGACCCTCAGGCATCAGGTTGTCATTTGTCAAGGTTTCTTAAGCAGCTAACGTAGTTATAGTCTGTGCTGCTGTTGTTTGCTGAGATGCTTCTCTTCCAGAACGAGACAGTTAATGCATTTGCTGCTTGTCTTACCTTGCACGTGGTGGTGTTTATCATCACATGGTTA